TAGAAATGAAAGGAAGGAAGAGAGGATTTTATATATGAGAAATTAAAAAGGCAATCATACCACCTATATGTAGGTCAACTGGAGTCTCACACACACACTCTCTCTCTTTATTTATTTATTTATTTTTAAAAAAGCATGTGTATGTATAGGTAGTTGTGATTATAGCTCACATCTTCCCTTGATTTTACATCCAAGAACGGCTTAAACGCCCTCTAGAATTGAAGTTTAGTTAATAGATAATCACAAAAACTAAATCATGAAGTGTAACATGAGTGCCTAAACTAATGGGCAATTAGAGAATCTAGATCATTTAGTAATAAATTAAATGTTCGGATTAGACTAGCCAATGATTATGACATATTTGAAAAAAAAAATTTATCAAAATTGAATTGTTAAAATAAGTGATGGAATAAGAATACATTGCTTGATAAAAGATTACATGATTGCTTGTGTACATGCATACTTAGGTCAAAATAACTAATTCATATTTGATTGAAAAGCCATTCTCACCTGATTTATATATATATAATAATTTTTAGATACTTCACATCATCACATTATCTTCATAAACTTATGTAGATTGTTAAATTAAACAATGTAATATGAAGAATGCATATTTTGTTATAATATAATTTTGTATATAAAAAAATGTATGTACTTATATAATATAAGCATTTATAATATAATTAAAGAAGTTGTTTATTTTAAGTAGATTATAATTCCACTGCACATCAATTTTGATATTCATTTTAAGTAGATTCTAATTCCACTGCACATCAATTTTGATATTCTTTTAGCTTGCAAATAACTGTACTGTTGTTGCCATAATCACAGAATATTATAACTATTGTTTTATTGAATAAATCTTGAAAAAAAAAACTTGATTGAATACAAGTTATGAAAATTATTAAATCAATAACTTAGTATAAATAAATATAACAAAATTAGTGTTTAAATCATGACAAAACAATCCATTAATAATATGTGAAATTCTGTTATGAAGTGGTAATCAAGATCATTACTGAAAAGTAAATAAATCTATAAATGTATTTTTGATAACAAAATTGAAATTAGATTCTCTTATTTTTATTGTTGCAGAATTTTTGTGATAGCTTCTATGTCTACTTAAATATATAGAAAAAATTGTTTTATTAGTTAAATAGCTTTTATTTTTGTATTTTTTGTATTGTGCTCACACTTCATTACATTTTAAATTGTACTGATGTAAAATTTAAAATAATATCTTTTTTATTTATAGAGATATTTTTTATTTATTTTAAATGTAAAAAAATAAATATCTCTAAATTTAAAAAAAAAATTTATCAAAATTAATTCATGTTTTTTTAAACTGTAACTAAAAATATTTTATCTCATAATTCTATCTAATTATATATTTATAATTTAAAATCTGTTTTTTTAAACTGTAACTAAAAATATTTTTTAAAATAATAACAGCAAAAACAATCACCCTAATGTTTATAATAATTAACTTTTACCCCACTCCAGATTTTAGGATCCTCCAAATTGCCTGACTGTGTATTTAATCAATTACGGGAATTTCCCTTTGCTTTTGGCTGAAGAAAGTGGCTGGGGGTATTTTGGCAATAGACAATTGATGGTTGGACTGAATTGGAAAGAGACAAACCAGTCCAAAAGAAAAGCCGTCATGACGAAGAAAATGAGAAAAACCACACCTGGAGCCATTTAAAACCAGTTAAGAGGTAAGAGCCAAGAGCCAAAGGCAACACCGGGAAGGAAGTTAACCTCTTGTCTCTAAAAATTTTCGAACAAGTAAAGTAAAGAATTCACAATCTCCCTTTACCGCTTCCTTCTCTCTATATCTATTCTCTTCCTACCTCAGTTTAGAACTCCCAAAATCCTCTCTCTCTCTCTCTCTCTCTCTCTCTCTCTCTCTCTACTCTCCTCCATGGCGATGTTTCGTATAAGAATTGCCATCATTCATATTTTTCTTCTACTTCTTCTAACTTCTTCAGGTACTACATGCATTTCTATATATTTCCTTAGTGTTTCATTATCAAAGCTTCAACATTAATGTACATTTCAACGTTTTTTCTTTCCTTCTTTTATTGGGTTTCCACTAATGTTATTGCCTGCCTTGTTGACAGACACTTATGGATTTCTACGTGGAGTCACATCCCTCGGTATCAACTATGGTCAAGTTGGCAACAATTTGCCACAGCCAGAGAAGGTTCTTGATCTCTTGAGCTCCCTTAAGCTCACAAAGGCAAGAATCTATGATACCAATCCCCAAGTATTGACAGCATTCGCAAACTCCAACGTTGAGCTGATTGTCACTGTTGAAAACCAAATGCTAGCTGTTCTAATGGATCCTCAACAAGCCCTTCAATGGGTTAGTAACCACATCAAGCCATATTTTCCGGCCACAAGAATTACAGGAATAGCTGTAGGAAATGAGGTCTTCACCGACGATGATACAACATTACTAGCCTCTGTTGTTCCAGCCATAGTCAGCATTCATGGCGCACTTGCTCAATTAGGCCTAGATACTTACATTAAAGTCTCAACACCCAATTCTTTAGCGGTCCTCGCTGAATCATACCCTCCTTCAGCTGGCAGTTTCAAAACTGAGGTCTCAGGAATCATGTCACAATATTTACAGTTCTTGTCAAGCACTAAAGCACCATTTTGGATCAATGCATATCCATATTTCGCTTACAAGGATAAACCTGATGAGGTACCCTTGGATTATGTGCTCTTTAACCCTAACGCAGGCATGGTTGACCCCTACACCAAGTTACACTACGACAATATGCTGTATGCTCAAGTCGATGCTGTTATTTTTGCAATTGCCAGAATGGGTTTTGGTGGAATTGAAGTTGGGGTGTCAGAGACTGGTTGGCCATCAAAAGGGGACGCGGATGAAGTTGGCGCCATAGTTGATAATGCAGCAGCCTATAACAAAAATATTTTGAGGAGGCAACTCAAGAACGAAGGTACACCTTTGCGGCCTAATATGAAGCTAGAAGTCTATTTGTTTGCTTTGTTCAACGAGGACATGAAACCTGGACCAACATCAGAGAGAAATTATGGCCTCTTTCAACCTGATTGTACCATGGTCTACAATGTGGGGATCTCAGCCCTTTCAAGTCCATCATCGACCTCATCGGCTTCCATTTCTCTTACTTCCTCTGCCACAAAGGTAAAAACGTAGGTTTCAATTTAATTAAGCATTCGTTTATCCTTCTTTTGATTTTAGTCTGAATATTTAAAATTTATGCATAAGAATAAGAAAAATGTATGCGATGCGGGACCTTGGGCCAAAAGGTGTATGCCACATATGTAAAGGACCATACTTGTATAATCCATTTGCAACCCTTTATGGAGAAAAATTTGAGATAAATTTATATACAAATGCTATTCTTTAATCTTGCTTGGTGAAACAATATAATCTAATTATTTCCTTTTATTTCCTTTCCTTTTCTCCTTAAATGGCGATTACTGTCAAACAGGATACAAGCATGGAAAGATTGGTGTATTTGCAGTTTATGATTTTCCTGACGTTCCATGTTTTCATGAGAAGAGCATGCTAAGCGATCGACAGAGTTGAAATTTTTTTTTTTTTGTGAGAAGCTTTGAGGTTTGTGGGTAACCTTCAAAAAACAGACCTCAGAACCGCCACAATCAGACAGCGAAGTTCCCATTTTGCACAAACTTAAGAAACAATGAATCTCAAAATGTTGACAATTGTTTCTACAAAGCATTACACCCTTAATTCCAGCATCTTGCAGAACAACTCTCGATCATGAATTGAGCTTGCTTTCCACGAAACAACAAAGGATACACAGCATCTTTTATCGTAATTATGCCAGGTATTTAGAACAGTAATTTCTTTAAAAACCTCTTCATTAATTTGCTGTCCTTCTTGCTAGGACATATTTGAGTATGTAATATACTTTGTTATTCGGGGGAAAATATGTAATGGAATTTATAACAATATTGCCAATCTTCCCCTTATTGGCTGCAAAGAAAGGCACCTCCCTACCTTTGGACGTGGAATCCATCACAGACCTTCCGTGTACAAAGAATTCATAACTTTGCTTTTCCCTTCTCTCTCCTCTCTTAAATATATGTATTGTAGCATATAACATATTGTATGAAATAAAGAAAAGCATATAAAATATGTTCGAGATGATGAAGAGCGGCAGGATGTAAAGTGGAGGCTTTGTTTGGTTCTTTTTTTTTTTTCTTCCGTTAATCCTGAAGCGGGAATTGAGACCAGCTTTATTCCCTTGGCAATATAACCGTCAGCATCGAGTCATGCGGCATCCTTTAGGCAAAGGAGCTTTTAAGCTGTCCTCTCTCACTTTCTCTGTAGATAACTTATAGATAGATCTTGAGGGGACAATCAAAGCTCAGCCTTAGTTAACCCATACGGGGACGGTCTATCAATTTCACGTCAGCCAACGTGGTGCACATGCAGCCCAACCATGCCGATGGACCCCTACTAGGAATGTTTATTGTTTTTCCATCTTTAATTCTTATTTCGCACCCAAATGAAAGAAAGAATCAAATAAAATTATTTCAATTCCAACCCCATAAAGGAATAGGTGTTCTTCTTGCGTGGGAACATTTTATTTTTTTTCAAGCATTCTATTTCTATCCCAAGGCCGAGCCAAAATACTATATAGGATCTCAAATGTCCCATTGAGTTAATTAGTTATTATTATAATTTCAATACATTTAATATAGATGTGCTTTTTTTATTTTTTATTTTTTATTTTTAAGTACTCTTCAATACTTAGATATTCTTTTCTTAATTTGATGTTCTTTCTAATTTATTCAGTTTGTTTTTCAAGAAATAAAACAAAGATACTCTTAATCTAAAGATACAAAATGAATCACTACTTTAGAAATATAGAGTTAAAGTATAGGTTTACTATTTATAAAGACAATAAAAAAATTATTTAGTTTATTAAAAGGTCATGTCATAGACTCTTAATTTAAATTTTGCCAAAAGATTACTACTTACAAAGATAATAAAGAAATTCCTTAGTTTATTAGGAAAACATCAAAATGATATAATTAAAATCTAAATAAATAAATTTAACAAAAAAATAAATAAATAATAATTATCACATGTTTTTTACTCTTGAAAAACATAAACAAATACTTAAAAATTAAAACAAACATAACTTCTTATAAAAAATATCAATACATGCATGGTTGTATAATTTATAAATATAACATTCTAAACTTAAAAACTATATAAAAAAAGCTTATTTTTCAATTCAACAAAAACATGCAAATTTAGATTCAAAGTTAGCTCGTGGATTGATAATAAACACAATCAAAAACTTTTCTCTTTGATATTGCCAATCCAAACTCGATTAACCCATCATCAATAAAATCATTAAAGGACAATCTCATGCTAGTTTCCCTTGTTAAGAAAAACCCACCTTCAAGTTCAAATAGTTCCTTCCTTAACCTTTTGATATCTAATCAAAGGACTTTCATAATCCATTATGCAAGCCTTGAATTGAAATCCTTTAATATTAATTACATTACTTTTGACATCATGACCTTTAGTTATTGTGAAATTAAAAACAACTTAATTCCCCCACCTTTATTAATTTTATTATGTTCTGAACTAATAATTTTTATTTTTGGAACATTGATAAGTTTATTATTTTTTAGTATAAAAACATCAATTTCAACCTTATGAATCTTAAAATTCTCCTTAATCACATGTGAAGCATATCATTTGCATTTTGCTTCACTAAGAAAAACAAATCTAGAACAACCTTCATAATGTGCTCCATCCTCCATTGATGTAACATGAACTTCTTTGGCATACTTAGTTTCATCATATTTAAGATTTTTGCATCAAAATCTTTTCTTCCAATATCATCTTTCTTGTCCTCATTGATTTTAGTGGTTGATTCCAATATATAAATGATCTAGAATCATACAAAATCTCATATTTTATTACTTTTTTTACATCAAAAGATTCATACTTTGATTACTTCTCCTCTGGTGTCATCTAAAATCATCTAGAAGAACCATTTTCAAGAATATTAACTTTTTACATCAGATTCTCGATATGGTATTTTATTACTTCATTTTTTATGCTAAGAAGAAGAACCCTCACTAAAATCATTATCTTGTATATGAAGGAAAGGACTAACATACTTTGATTTATGTTCTCGATACTCAAATCCATCAATATGCTCCTGAAGTTCTTAGAGTTTCCTTTCTTATTTCATCAATTTCAAGAGCATGGATGTCGCTCTTGAATTCTTGCACATGATATCCATGAATAACAATGGAGTAACATGTTGCTCACATAAATGATAGCTTTTTTCTCCCCACTCTAAAGTATAAAGCCAAAACGATACAGAAATGAACAACTCTGCACTCTAAAAATACAAATCAAATCCCCATTTTAGAGATATAAAGTTAAGGTAAAAGTTCACCACTCGCAAAAAAGATATAAAACCTGATAAGTTGTTAAGAGGTCAAGTTAAAGACTTCAATTCAAATTATGCTACAAGATCCCTATATATGGTATAAATCATAAATATATACTTGAAACAACCCTCCAAGTATAAGGAAAACCTAAAATAACATAATTAGACCAAAATAAATGTCTTTGATAGAAAACTAGATAAATATTAACTAGCACATGTTTTTGAATTTGATGAAACACAAATGGATACTTAAAAAGCTTAAAAACTAAAACAAACATAACTTCTTGTAAAAAATTTAAATGCATGCATTGTTGGATAATATGGGAAAATCACATTTTGAACTTCAAAACCGCATAGGATAAAATTATTTTCCATTGCAATGATGAGATAAAAATTCATCCTCAAAGTTAGCTCATGAGTTGACAGTAAACAACATCACTCATTTGCATTGACAACCTAAACTCAAGTAACCTAGCATCAATAAAACTATTAAATGAGTCTCCTATGTGATATTAGTTTGATACTCATGTGTTTAAAAAACTTAAATTATTCTAGATAGTGGTTCAAATACTCAAACAAAAAAGTTAAGAAATGAGGTACACTTTGTTCATTATCAAACCAATCTCTTAATTATAAAGTAAAGGTTGTAAATTTAGACTTTTTAGAGAATAACAATATTATTATTGATTGAGTTATATTTTTAATTATTTAATCATTTTTAATAACATAAGGTTGATTTAATTATTCATATAAATAATGAATCAACTGACTTTTGTTTTTCACTTTCAAACTTTTTGTCCTTTAAATCAAACTCTTTTATAGCCAAACTAGAAGAATTCAGGTCATAAATCATAGTAAAAATAAAAAATATAAAGATAAAAAAATAAAATATAAATTATAAAGAAAATATGGGGTTAACCTCACACTAGAGAAAATTTTTAATTATTTAATCATTTTTAATAACATAAGGTTGATTTAATTATTCATATAAATAATGAATCAACTGACTTTTGTTTTTCACTTTCAAACTTTTTGTCCTTTAAATCAAACTCTTTTATAGCCAAACTAGAAGAATTCAGGTCATAAATCATAGTAAAAATAAAAAATATAAAGATAAAAAAATAAAATATAAATTATAAAGAAAATATGGGGTTAACCTCACACTAGAGAAAATTTTTATTTTGATATAAAAGTTTATTTTCTCTAATTTTAGTTCATGAGTTAGAGAGGAGAGAGAAACTCATTTGAACATAGTCGGGAGAGAGAAATTAGTTAGTTATCATTGATTCTAACCATGGAAAAGATCAATCTTAATTTAAAATGATTTCATTTAATAAGAGAAGTTCTATTAGGGTATTATTTAGTCTTCTCCTTACCTGAAATGATAGTAGATCTAGACTTCGAAAGTTTTATCAACTCAGGTTAATTTTTTGTTTTTCAACTTATTTTAGGTTATTTGATGCCATAAATAGGTTTACTTAGGTCTTTTGGGGTTTTTTTTAGATGTTTTTAGATTAAAACAATAATTGAAAAGGGATTTTTAGACCCAAAAATCATCTCCTTTGATTTTTCAACCGCCTTAATAATAGTTGAATTTTAGAAAACAAGGGACCCATCATTTGCTCTCTTTTATTTCCTCAAAAAAGAAGAGATGGATGACAAATTGTCTACCCTTTATTTATATATATATATATATACATATATATATATATATAAAGGCTAGAAGCATGGTACTAGGCTGAGAAGCCTACACACTTGTGCCATTTTGTTTTAGAAATTTATGTATGTTAAGTTATCTAGACTAGGTCCACGAGCCCTTTATTTTATAATTCAATTTTTTTTTGTGAATTTTAACTTTGGTTTTTTCAATGAATAATTGCGTAATATGGAAAAAAACTCATAAATATTTAATTAATATAAAATTTATGTTTTTTAATATTTTTATTACATTTTTTATATAATTTTATGACATTTATTAATACATTTTCCTTGAATGTTTTATTTTAAATTTTATTTAAGACTATTATGGATTTTTATTTAAGAAACAATGCTTGTACTTTACAAAACATCTTGATTTTAGATTGATCCTTGATTTTGTAAGTGTATATCTTTTATGTATTATTAAGTAGGTATTTATTTACACGATAGCTTTAGCTCTTAAAGCAAACTACATACACTAGGTGTTTGATAATTTGAAAAAAGAAATTTATTGTTTGGTGGTACCCATAATTTTTTTCCTCGAATCTTCATTTTGCACACAGTAGCTAGGAGCTGCTTCTTATATAATTCACATTTGCACTGTTTATAACAGTGCCCATGACAGGTGATGCTAGGTGAATTAATAACTCATCTGGACACTGCTCACTCCAAAAAGTGAATAGTTCCACGGTGAATTATATAACTCACTTGACAACATGTGAAGCATTCACCTGGTATTGTTCATATGAACAGTGCCACTTGATTTTTGTTGGTATTGTTCACGTGAACATTGTTTATTAGACCGCGTCTAACTTGATAAGAAAATTTTAATTTTTTTAAAATTGTGTTTTACTTGAAAAACTGGTGTTTAATATTATTTAATAACACTATATAA